GGGATCCTTTGAAGCGGGATCCTTTGAAGCGGGATCCTTTGAAGTGGAATCCTTTGAAGCGGAATCCTTTGAAGCGGGATCCTTTGAAGCGGGATCCTTTGAAGCGGGATCCTTTGAAGCGGGATCCTTTGAAGCGGGATCCTTTGAAGCGGGATCCTTTTCCCCTTTGCGCAGCACCCATGTAACTCGGTTGTTTTGTTCCTTGTCTTGACGGTGCCGTTTTATATCTTCCCACGCGTCTTTGATCATTGTCACGGCCATCACAAAGGCCAGCGGCACTAGGTATGTTGGTACACCCCCAGAGTCGGAGATGGTCGGGATGAGCTGCATGATACTCATCACGATAAAGTAAAAGTTGGCCGGAACCACGGCTTGCTGTAACAGGTTCAACGGAACCAGGTTCCACCAGGTGTACTGACTTGTCATCACACGGTTGTTCCAGGCACCCACGTCCCACTTGCTGTTACCTACGCTCTCCGGAATACGGTTCGTCTCCTCCGGTGACGCCTCCGCCTTAGCCCGACGAGCATTGTGATTCAACACCGGAGCATGACTACCCTCATATACCACCGAACGCACCGTTATCGTATTCTCCGGACCAGGCAGCAACTGCTCCTCCTCCCCCTCCACACCTCGCTTCTTCCTAGGCCATAACCTAGACCAGAAGCCACATGCCATTATTGAAAAACCTCACCTCCTGCGCTTTTTCCAATTATCCACGTCGTTCCCATGCGTCTAAGGCTCTCGGCCCAGGGGTCTTCACCCTTTGGTGCCTTTCTCCAGGACCCGCCCAATACCGCCCAACATTTTGCCAGCCCCCTCCCCTTTCATTCCTTCCTTCCAGCCACCCCCGACGACCCTTTATCCAAAGCCACTGCCCCTCCCCGAACGGGATTGTTTATGAAAATTTTATTTGCTCTCGGTAGCAGGATAGTCCTAGCGACAGATGGTGGCGCGATAATTGTCCGTGATGGAAGCAAAATCTTATTTCAGTTTCAAGGAGATCGCATAGACAAAATAAATGACGCAGTATGTATGCACACGCGTGTGCGCGCTATGTTTTATTCGCCAGTAGGTATTGCTCCAAAGTATTTACGTAGTAGTGTTAGTCAATGATCATGAACTAATTGTTTTAAGCACAAGTGACGACCAAAAATTCCAGGACCAAGAAATCCAGGACCAGGCGGTGAAGAACAATGAAGTTCCGGATCAAGAAGTTCAGGACAGGGGCGATGTGGGGTTCTTGGTCCCAATACTCAGAGTACACTTGAATGAGACATTGGGTCGGCACTTCGCAAATCTAGCGTTTCGCAAGCTTATTCGTCTGCGAGATCATTTCAATATTGTACACAAGATTGGGGCGGTAATTGACACTGGAGACTGCGTCGTGTTTCTCCCCGTTTCTGCACTGGTGCCGGTCCACGGGCCGCTTTTAACAAGTCCCTTGTCGACCCAGCTCGCTTTGGAGCTGGTTCAGCGTTCAATATCAGTTGTTGAATTCGGATACAAAGCCGTCGAGAAATCGCCTTGCGTTACGCAAGACTTGCTGTGGATAAGAAGTCCTCATCCGAATGTCATTGGCATTGAGGAGGTGGAACAACGAAGGACGTTCAACAGGGCGGCTAATTTACTGGGGCTTCATCCTGACATTAACCAGCATTGCATGTTTCCAGAACAGCTTAGGGATCGAGATATCATGAAATACATGACGACGACCATGCCAGGAATATTTGACGACGAAAAGTTGGTTGAGGGGAAAGAGGACCCGAATGAACTGGACTGGTCGGTAGATGACACATTCTTGTTCTTGGGTTACCAGCCTGGTGCGGCGTACTGTTCGTTGCGGCGGTCGACTCGGCACTCTTGGCGGGCCAACTCGCTAAAGAGGAGCATGATTTTCTCGCACCCGTTACTGTCAACGGCCTTTAATCCCCAGCAGCGAGTGACTGGTTACGCCTGGCACCCAACAGACGCCCGACTACTAGCGGTAACTGACAGCTTTGGACGTCTTTCCGTCTGGGACGTCCAAAGTATCCGACTCGTCTGCTACCACAAGGCGACGAGGGAATTGCAGGCTGCGTGGCCATCTCCTCCCGTGCCCGAGACAACTCCCTCACGAGGCCACTTGCAGTCGGGAGAAGCTCCTATTCTCCCTCAACAATCTCTCACCCAGGAGTCTCTCCCTCTCGAAACAACTAAGGCTGCCCTCGTGGTTTGCATGTACTACCCTTCTCGCGGACTGGTGGAGTATCTCGACGTATGGACCAACACGATTGTGCACCAAACAACAACCATACGTGACGGTATCATCTCCGAACGAGATAGCGTTCACGATCTCGTCTTCATCATCAACCTCGAGACTCAGTCGCCGCCACTGACCTACCCTATTGCCGCGCAGAACGGGGCCTGAGCTGTCCGAACAATAGTCTCGAAAACAGCCCGGGCTGCGCTGTCAGTTTCCGACCAACTCCACCTCCTAGAAGGTTCGTTTCCAAAAAAGTTTGTTGGGGGGTAGGGCATCAGCCTTAAACAGACACGGACAACTTCCTCGCGTCCGCGCAGCCCGCATCCATACATACTTTGCCCCAGAAACGTGTCTGTCTGCGTTCGGCTTCTTCCGCGGATTTGGCGTTGAGACACATGGGGACCATGGCAACGCGCAATCCGGAGGCTGTGCCGTCTTCATTGAACTCCAGCACTACATAGACTTGGGAGTAACTGCCGATGTACCAGCCGTCATTGCTGGGCTTGTTTAATTCCGTGAGGTCTCGGGGTTCGTTCGGGGCAAGACGCTTGGCGTGTCCGGCTCTATCGGTTGCCTTTTCAACCAGTATGGCTTCTTCTATGAGTGTTTCGGCTTGAGTCTGTAGTTGGTGGATGATTTGCGGCGACACACGGTAAGACTTGACCAAGTCGCCGAGGTTAACCACACGCCAGTACTTCATGTGCTCGTCCATCTCGGCCTGAACGATGGCGGCTGCCTCTTCTTGGCTGAGCTCGAGGAATCCATCCGGTCGGCGCCCACTGGGCGTCGATGGCTTCCAGGTACATTGCCAGGGGAACGGTGTGCAGATGACGCCTTGCTTGTCGGCTTCGTCCTGCACGGCCTTTAACATACGATCCACATTGTATCCCCAGGCGCCAGTCAGCACCTCCGACACCGGCCACTGTCCGTCCATCGTGAACACCTCGTCAAAATCATGCACCATCCAGTCCTTGACCGGGACGTGGTGGTTGTCCGGAACGAACCATTCGGGAGCGTAAGCGCTAGAACATTCGCGCCGACCCACAGATTCGATTAATCGGTTCGGCGCGGCCGGCAGGCTCACCAGCGCACCGGGATCGCAACGTGGGCACACCTTCCCCTCATAGGGAGACCCAACCATTACCTGTGGTATCTTACGGCTCTGCATCAGCATCGGGCGACAGATGCCCATAGTCACCCGAGGGCTCGCATGCGCTGTAGACCTTAACTAGCGCCCCGCGGAACTCAGACATGGTCGCCCACGGTTTCTTCAACACGTCAAAGACATCTGACTTTATGTCTAAACTATCTCTGAATTTATTTTTCATTCGACTACCCTTGATCAAGCACAAGAAGACGCTTTGAGCCATTTTGACTCGCTCAGCTTCATCAGCAGCCTTCTCAGCGTCAGGGTACTTGTCCGCACCTTTGAGGTCTAGGCACACGGTTGGACGCTTTTCTGTGCTCAGTAGCTGGATCTGTTCGGGGCTGAATAACGTACCTTCGTTCTTGAGCATCTGGTCCACCGTCTGCAGGGCAATGGTCAACAAGAACTTCGGCGAAACCTTGTCATGTCCATCAAGCCCCAATCTCACGCAGTTCGGCATCGCTGGAGGAACGCCACAAGGAGGTTCAGGACGGCGATCAATCACAGTATGCAGGCCGACGAGCGAGGTACAAATCTCCTCACCCGGAGAACCAACATCAAAGGTAACTCCAGTCATCACCGACAACAGCGGCGAGACTTCTTGAGCATCTGTAGCAGTAAATCCTCTCATTGGGGAAAAAATTTCACAGCTTCCTGAAATAACTATTTTTCCCCAAACAACCTAACGGACCAATCAATACCTGTCTGCTAGCGCTCCTGATGTTGAGGCGCGGACACTCTTGAAGTATGTCAGTCGGCGGACGTTCGGACGGCGAGAAGCCCCCACGCGCCGGTGAAGGTAGCGGTTGAAGTCCGCCCGGGCAAGGGCGATGGCGTGACAGCCCCGTCGGGGCAAGATGCCGAATGCTTCCTAAAAGATGAGCCGGTGTTAGGCCAGGCTGCGACAGAGTTAGCGGAGTCAAGTCTACTGCAACTGCAACAACCAGCAACGTTTACACTACCCGCTAAATTAGTTGATACCGTGTTGCCCACAACTCTAACAAAACGCAGCTACACTGCACATCGCTACTCGGCTACGCTCTCTAACAATACCAAGTGGAACAATATCCAACGACTCATGGACACCAAACTACAGGCAAATATAACTAAAGCAGCGCAAGTATCACAAACACACCGCTGTCGGAGAGAGCGAGATCGGTCTTCGCTGCGATGAAGTGGTCCGCGAGAGAGCAAGAGTCAGACTCGGACACGTCGGATGACGGAGCGCGGTTCAACAAGTGTGTCAACTTGAAGGCGGTGCAAAAGTTCGTAAACAAGGAGCTGAGCGCCGACAAGAAAGAGAAGGGCCAGCCGGCAGCGGGAGAGGACGTCGGGATGCCAGTGGCCGCAGGTAGTGCAGAGTGAGGGTCCAGGGGGCGCGAAATGCCGGCATGAGCCAACAGAGGACGTGACGCTGGAGTCACGAGTCACGGGAACCGTGCACGGCGAGACGGACGAAGTAGAGTTCGCGGTGCACGACCAAGCGTAAGTACGAGGCGCGTTTCGAGGCAAGCCTTACAAAGAGAGGTTGAGACATCTCGAGCCTGAGCTGCGGGCCGAGTTGGAGAAGCAGCTGAAGCTCGGAGTCATCCGTCCTTCGAAAAGCGAGCGGGCGGCCGCGCCGCACTTCGTGAAGAAGAGACGGGCGAGGGGAGGTGCGTTTTGGACCTGGGTTCGTGTCCGCTGCACCGAATATGGGACCACTTGCGGGCCGCAGCAGGCCGTCAGCACTTCGTGACTCTCGATATGAACTCAGGATTCTGGAATGTGCCGATAGCGCAGGAGAGCAAGCATCTCACCGCGTTCGCCACACCGTTTGGACTGTTCGAGTTCAAAGTCATGCCCTTCGGGATCAAGAGCTCACCGGCGGAGTTTCAGCGCGCGGTGGACATGGTGTTCGAGGAGGTGCTGGACGATCCCACTCCGTGTTACATCGATGATACTTCTACCTCAGGCGAGATAAGAGCGAGTGGCTCGGGCCCGAAGTAAAGTACCTCGGTCACAAGATTGAACGGCAAGGGATAGCGTGCCAGGAGAGGAAGATAGGCAACGTTCTCAATGCCCCCGTCCTCACCTCAAGGAAGGGACTGCAGAGCTTCCTAGGAGCTGTTGGGGTACCTACGACCCTTCATTCCGCGATTCGCCGAATACACTGCCCCACTGTTCGAGCCGCTCAAGAAGGGCAGGTTGTTCGTCTGGTCGGACGCTCGGGAAGAGCCGTTCAGGGAGCTCAAGCTGTCGGTTGCCGGTGCATCGTTGCTCCATAGGCCAGTACCAGAGCGCCGCTCATCATCGAAACGGATGCATCGGAGGTTGGCATTGGCCCGGTGTTGAAGCAGGTGCAAGAGGGCAGAGAGGTCCCGTTAGAGTTCGCGCCCAAGAAGTTCACCGACGCGGAGAGAAAGTGGGATACGATAGAGAGAGAGCTTTTCGCCGTCAAGTGGGCCGTAGAGAACTGGCGCGACTACGTAGCGTTCCATCATTTCATCATACGCACAGATCACGCCAACCCACGCTACCTTGTGGGAGTAGACAAAGGGAAGGTGTTCCGCTGGGCGCTGGCGCTCAGCAGGTTCAACTTCACCTTAAAGTTCCTGTCGGGAAAGAAGAATAACATGGCGGACTGATTGTCGCGGCACGCAGCGGAAGATAAAGGGTGCGACGCAGAGATGGAGGCAATGGCTTTGGGCTGTCGCACGCATAATACGACACCGCACATCAGCACAGGTGTGACGGCGTACGAGGCCTTATTCGGAAGACCACCGTACTTCGCGCGGTTGCAAGAGGTAACCGGCACAACGACAGAGGAGCAGAGGAAATAGAGCCTGGCGGCACAGATGTGTGAGAGATCGCAAAAGGCCATGCTCACAGATAGGGCGCTCAAGGAGTCGGGCGCGATGACCGACGGGTAGGAGAAATAGTAGTTGTCTCGATGGAGCCAGGGTCGCAGGCAGACGCCAGGGGAGGACCGAAGACACCAACTTGGCGCACACCGCGTGGTCGCTACCAATGAGGATAACAGAGTTGAGAAAAACGCAGGCCCAAGAGTACGTCTCAGGGCAGCGCGACCTGGAGGAGCAAGCAGAGAACAGGCGGGAGATGACCGACATCGGCATGGGGACAGAGGCCAACTGGGATGAATTCTTGGGGATAATACAACCCTTCAACTGAGAAGCCGAGGGGGCGTGTTGGTGGGCAAGGTCGGCTTTCAGTTGTTATGTCTCGACCTGTTGGAGCTTTTTGTAAAATACAGAGGGAATTACCAACCGTATCGTCTTCACCTGTACCGCTCCCCATGCACGACCATCCACCACCACCACCATCTAGGATATCTTCTGGTTTGTCAATCATAACTATGTCCGGACCTGACGCCACACACCCTGGGTCTGCACACTACTCCAGCACAGTCATGCTCGTGGGAACTATCTTCGTCCCCGGGTCACATCATGTCGCCAGAGCTCACTTCGGCCCCGGCTATTGTGTTCGTGCTGGACGTGTTAAGAACATGTCTGGCGAAACGAAAGCTGAGGAAGTGAAGTGCTCCTTGGGAGTAGATGCGATTGAGAGTGAGCACATTCGAGACTCACGGGCGCAGAGACGAGCTGCTGAGGACTGCGGGTCGAGCTGCCCGCCCACGTTGGCTTTCACAGGAATCCCCTATCCGCACATTCGAGGCAGCACTGCCTAGCCACTGCAGCATATCTGGTACGTCCGGTCTATCCTCGTCTGGTGTCCTCGGCGTTGTGCCTTCGGCGTTGTGCCTTCGGCGTTGTGCCTTCGGCGTTGTGTCATCGCGCTATGCCCTCGGCGCTATGCCCTCGGCGTTGTGTCATCGGCGCTTGGTTGGCAGGGCGTGTTTAGTCAGTGTTGAATTTGACTTGTATCATTGCGAGATCGATGTGATTGGAACTGAGAACCATTGTCAGGTATATTGTAATGGGAGTATGATTGCAGCACCAAAGTTGGATCCCATGACGAGTCCCAACCAATATTAGGGCGGTCACAGGGTCGCTTGCCAGAATCGCGACGTTGACTCAGAGAATTCTCATGACACCCGACTCAACAAACTTCTCTGCTATCCTGAAAGAGGCTCGCCCGCTATATCGAATAAGTGATGCCCTTATTAGTCATGAGTATGACGTGGTGGCTCGAGTGTCTGACAGCTGGCCTACACCGAGCCGTATAGTGGCTGCATGTGTTGAAAGGAGTACTCATTTGACGCTCTTGCGGTCCATGAACCTCTACTGTACTGTTTCTGGTTTACCAGTCCATGTTTGCCAGTGAGTTGCCCCTGCTGATGCTAGCCCCTTCTACCACACTGAACGCGAAGTGCCGAGCATCATACTCAAGCCAAGATATACTTCCTGTCTTTGGGGCAGGGTGTTTAGTACATTTTGAATTCATACATCGCTTGCATCTCGAAAAAAAGGGCTAATTTTCACAAATCAGGGGCACGTGGCTCTCCTCGTTCGTGCACCGCGCTTCGACCAGTTGGCTGGAAGGCTGGGGAACGCTCTTGCGTCCGTGTTTTCGCGCGGAAAGTGTGTGCACACGCTTTGGGTTTGGTTGCACACACTTTGGTCAGTGCTTGGTAGGGCGGGATTTTGGGGGGGATAAAATACTTGCCGACTAAAAGAGTTGATAAATCACAGTGATGGGCGAGGGGAGTCGGGCGGTTTCGAAGACCGACGCTCTGGGACGTCAGGTTTGGGACAAGGCGGCCTATGCGACGTTGGCGGCTGAGAAGGCGCGGACGGGGGAAGTAGCGAAGCAGGTTCCGAAAGAAGAGACCGAGAAGGCTCGCTTGCGTCGCGAAAAACGGGAGAGATTAAACGCGAAAGCGCCGAAAGAGCGCACCTTTCTCGAGGGCCGGACGGAACGGCTCAAGTTGGAGACAAAGCTGGGTACTCAGCGGTTCGTTAACGCAGCCGACGACGCCGCCATCGGCTTTCATTGTGCCACCTGCGAATGCACTCTGAAAGACTCGGCGGCCTACATGGACCATCTCAACGGCAAGCGGCACAACCGTCTGCTGGGCAAGTCTATGCGCGTCGAGAGGAAAGACGCCGACCAGGTGAAGGACAGACTCAAAGCGCTTAAGCAGAAGAAACTCACCTCGCTAACCCCCTAATGCTACTGTTTATATTAGTCGTTCCAATGAACACCCATTCGTTAACTGGCCACCCCTAAGCTGGTGGTACCCCCACCCCTAGCTGGTGGTACCCCCACATCTAGCTGGTGGTACCCCCACCCCTAGCTGGTGGTACCCCTACTAGTTACACCCCTCCCTCTCCTCCAACCTTGCCCATGCGGCCGCGGTCCCACGTGCCTTGCTCAATTTAGATGGAATGCTCGCCAGGCGAAAATAATAAGATTTTTTGATGGCGGTACCTTTTGTGCTGACGCCCAATGAGGTAGCTACAGAATTGAGGAGCGACTTGCCCCGTGGCCTTTCCACACCCCAGGTAGGATATCTTCTGTGCTTGTCCGCACTCGATCTGGGCCAGACTGAGTGAGTGGGTGGGCCAGACTGACCAGTCTTGCGCGCAGCGTCTGGGGAGTGAGTGAGCGTCTTACCGACTAGAGGTATTACTACCGACTAGAGGTATTAGTACCGACTAGAGGTACTACTAGAGTGTGACAGGGGTGTGTGTGAGTGGCCGCCGACTAGAGGATGGCCTTGTTGTGGATAGTCATTTTCTGTGTACCATTGCTATCTTATGTAGGCGGCGGAGCGTTTGTTGCGGCACGGGCGGAATGAGTTGCCGAGTGGGAAGCAGAAGACATTGCGGGAGTTGATACTGGAGCAGTTTGATGATCTGTTGGTGCGCATATTGTTGGCAGCGGCGGTGATAAGTTTTGTATTGGCGTTTGCGGAGGGCGAGGGGGGCGTATCCGCGTTCGTTGAGCCGTTGGTTATATTGTTGATATTGATAGCGAATGCTGCGGTTAGTATTAGTCAGGAGACTAAGGCGGAGAAGTCTTTGGAGGCATTGAAGCGTTTGCAGCCGGCGCATTGTCGTGTAGTTCGTAATGGTGTATGGCAGACAATTGAGTCCGCTGAGTTGGTAGTAGGTGATGTGATATCCGTACGTTCTGGAGATAAGGTGCCTGCAGATTGCCGGCTGGTGGAGATTTGTAGTACTACGCTTAAGGCGGAGGAGAGTCAGCTTACAGGCGAGAGTGCCTCTGTGACTAAGGCGACCGAACCGCTACGATTAGGAGCACCGCAGCAGATTCAGTATCAACATTGCATGTTGTTCAGCGGTACCAGTATTGTGCATGGTCATGCCATAGCCATTGTTACGGCGACGGGAATTGAAACGGAAGTTGGCAAGATCCATGCAGCCGTCGAAGAAGCAGGCGAGGAGGATAAGCAGAGTCCACTGCAGCGTAAGCTAGATGAGTTCAGTCGACAACTTTCCATTATCATCGGACTCATCTGTATCTTCGTGTGGCTCATCAATATCAACCACTTCCGTCTGCCGTGCCATGGCCACTGGATTAACGGTAGTATCTACTACTTCAAAATCGCTGTTGCACTCGCTGTCGCCGCCATCCCCGAAGGACTACCGGCCGTCATTACGACCTGTCTTGCACTAGGTACGAAACGCATGGCTAAAAGAAATGCGATTGTGCGCAAATTACAGTCCGTTGAAACGCTCGGCTGCACCACCGTCATCTGCAGCGACAAGACTGGTACGCTGACGGAAAACCTGATGACCGTGACGAGGCTCATCATGCCACTTTCCGGCACCGAGTTACAGGATTACGAAATTGAAAATGGTGGTCTGACTCCAGAGGGTGCCATTTACAAAGTACTAAATGCGGCGTCTGCCTCGCCGGAAGAGTTTGTAGAATTTCGCCACGTCCGCAGCAAAGACGTCTCGCTGCAGTACCTGTTGCGCGTCTGCGCGATGTGTCAAGACAGTTACCTTTTTCGTAATCCCGATGGTACCTATGACAAGTCCGGAGAGCCGACAGAGGTAGCGCTCAAGGTCATGGTGGAAAAGTTCGGCTGTCCGAACGAGAAGGTCAATGCTCATAACTTGCAACGCTCTATGCGCGCAGACGCAGAGATATTCTGCAAGTATTGGAGTCGCGAAGCCAAGAAGGCAACCACCTTCGAATTCACGCGCGAACGTCGGAGCATGAGCGTGCACGTAACCTGTCCCGACTCCAGCAGCATGCTACTCGTCAAGGGCGCTCCCGAAGGTATTGTTGAACGTTCGACGGCAATCATGGAACCCGACGGCACTATCAGCGTCTTCACAGACGCTCTCAAGCGCAAGGTTTTAGCACGCGTTGAGGGACTCGCTACACACGCTCTGCGCACACTCGCCATGGCCGTCAAAATCAATCCCATTATACCTCCCGGCAACATCGAGCCGGCTGAGTTCATTTTACTCGAAAGCGAACTCATCTTCCTCGGCGTTGTCGGCATGCTGGACCCGCCCCGCAAGGCGGTCAAGGACGCCGTGTTGCGCTGCCGTCGCGCAGGCATCCGGGTTATCATGGTTACCGGCGATAATAAGTACACTGCTGAAGCAATCGCACTAAAGTGCGGCATCTCCACGGACCGCTACAATGCCAATATTCGCAACGGCGAAAAGCTGCTCGAACGAGGCCTCACCTGCGCAGGACCGGCCGGTCGTGCTTCACCACCCATTTCACGCGCCTCCACCGCCGTCGGCGGCCAAGGAGGTAATATTCACGGGAATGGTGGTAATGCCGGTGTGGGGGAGTCGGGGTTCTACAGTGGCCCGAGTTCAGTAACTGGTGCGGAGTTTGAGCGCATGAGTGAGGCGGCACAGGCGGCTCTGTTGTCGCGACCGGATGGATGCATTCTGTGTCGGATGGAGCCGCGACTGAAGCAGGACGTGGTGAAGAGGTTGCGTGCAGCGGGTGAGGTGGTGGCCATGACCGGAGACGGAGTGAACGATGCGCCGGCTTTGAAGCAAGCGGACATCGGGATCGCAATGGGTTTGACTGGGACGGACGTAGCGAAGGAGGCTAGTGCAATGATACTAAGTGACGACAACTTTCGGACGATTGTCGCTGCGGTGGAGGAGGGTCGTAGTATTTATTCGAACATGAAAGCGTTTATCCGATATCTTATTTCGAGTAACATCGGCGAAGTTGCCTCGATCTTCCTTACCGCAGCCATTGGCGTACCTGAGGGTTTCGCACCCATCCAGCTGCTGTGGGTTAATCTTGTCACCGATGGACCGCCTGCCACCGCACTCGGTTTCAACCCACCCGACCTCGACGTCATGGCCAAGCCACCTCGGAAGGCCTCGGACAAACTTATCACCGTTCGTGTGCTCATCCGCTACTGCGCTATCGGAGCCTATGTAGGACTCGCCACCGTCGGGGTCTTTATTTACTACTTCCTCTTCGATGCGAATAATGCTGACGGACACTCGCTCGTGTCCTGGCATCAGCTAACACATTTCAACCACTGCACCGAATGGACCGACTTTACTGTAACTCCCGTTTACGGCATGGCCCGGGCCCCGAGTAGTAATGGCATCGCGGCCGATACCGATGTCATGCCCGATGGTGGTATTGCGGCTAACCCATGCGAGTTCTTCTCTCAAGGCAAAATTAAGGCTTGTTCGCTATCGCTCACTGTTCTGGTCGCAATTGAGATGCTAAATGCCTTCAACGCCATCTCCGAGTCCTTCTCGCTCCTACAACGCCCACCCTGGACCAATCCCTCCCTTTGCTGGGCCGTCCTTTCCTCTATACTCCTTCATTGTCTTATCCTCTATGTCCCCTTTCTCGCAGACATCTTCAGCGTCACACCGCTTGACATACATGACTGGCGACTCGTCCTCCTCTTCTCCGCACCGGTCATCCTCGTTGACGAACTCATCAAACTTCTCACCCGCTCCGCAAACCCACTCTATCCCATCTACCAACTCATCTATCGAATCAAAGCCAAAACGAAGCACTGAGTTTATACCTGCCGGAGTACTATCGGTCCAGTGCTGTGGTGCAAGCACTGACCCCGCTGCATTGTAACCACCCACGCTGCACACCGGCTGCACCGGCACGAACGGGCCGTGGCTGGGCCCTACAAGGGCCACTACCACAGGCTGAATCCTCGCAACAAACAAGACTGGACCGAGAACTGAACACCGAGAACTGAACTGAACAGAGGACTGAACTGAACAGAGGACTGGACTGAGGACTGCACTGAACCCGGGGCTGTCAGGACCCGTGGCTGGAATTGAAACGGGACTGGACTCAGGACTGGATTGGATCTACGACTGGAACCCTGACTGAACCCCTGATTGGACCTGGGACTGGACCTGGGACTGGATCCAGGACAGGACTGAACAGTACAGGACTGAACAGTACAGGACTGAACAGGACAGGACAGGACTGAACAGGACAGGACAGGACTGAACAGGACAGGACTGGACAGGACAGAACTGAACAGGAATGATGGAGACGGACGGAAGTAGGAAACAAACCAAGGTAGTTCGGACCGGAGGATGCGATCTTCTGCCCGCGTGTGTGGCAGGGTGCACGTGCGCGTACGGATGGCAAGTGAACCAAGCACACAAAGCTTCTTGGGCTTCAAGCCCTTTACGGGATTCATGGGCCTTAGCCTGGAAAGAATGGAATACCTCTTAGCCTTCCTCGCTCTCGTATGACCCCACATCCGGTTTCTCGGCTCTCTATCTACCTTGCCTTGTCCCCGACTCTAGATAGGCCCGACCGTAGCTAGTCCCGATCCTAATCTTCCCCTTTACCTTTCCCCTTACCTTGTTCCCACCCACTAGATGGTACTTATAAGCTACGTTCTTTGTGCAGGGTGAAGGTTTATTGTTGATGTTTTATTTTGGCTTTGGTTTTACTTTGATCGTGACCAATGCGGTGATTTTTGGCTTGCTGGTGGTGGCAGCGAAGACACTGTCGCATGGACCGGCCTTGGTGGCCTTTTACGGAATGTGTCTGAATAGTGCTCTGCATTTCTTTGCCGTGACGCAATTAGTCTCTCATTACTTGTTCTACGGCGGCGGGATCTTTTTCTTCATTCCTCTAGTCTACATGGCCACGGCAGCATCCATGTCCTTCCTCGGCGTTCTCATCTCATACTCCTTCTGGGCACGCACCAGGCTGGGCCAGTACTCCATTGTCACCGGAGGCACACTCAAGGACGAACCACTCGCCGCTGGCGCTGGCGTCCATGTTTAGGGCCGGCCGACTACCGGGCACACGCGTGTGCACACGCGTGTGCGCGCAGCGACCGTCCTCCAGAACTTGGCCCACTTCCCTTTCGGTTGTGTGAATAAGGTGTCTGGCGGTCAATTGAATGCCTTTTTAGTCCTTCTTTTTCCCCTGAATCCGATCTCTCAGTTGTCCCTGCCCTCCCTCAAGCCTTTTGCCGTTCTGAACAGAGTACCGCCCTGAACAGAGTACCGTCCTGAACAGAGTACCGTCCTGAACGGAGTACCGTCCTGAACGAACTGCACAACCACCTGAACACGGACAGCCGTCCTGAAGTGGACACTCGGCCCTCATCACAACTGCTACTTCTCATCCGTTGCTTGTCGTCAACCACGGGTCGTTCGCTCATTGCCGTTCGCCGCTTATTCACTCTTTGCAGTTGGTCCTGGCTGTGGGCTACTAGCATTGGCTATGCATGTGGTCACCCTAACATGTGACGAGTGTGCACCACTAAGAGTTGGAGTCATATGTCGAGATTGATTAGGAACATAGTGGAGACGGTGATGTTTCCTGGATGCGAGGCCGCCCATGAAGCGGACGACCGCTATTTCTTTTACTTGCCGGTATTAAAGTTGGGTTTGTTGGTCCCCATTTGGGTGCGTCCTGCAGCACACGGTTCGTTCGTCGTG